ATTATTTATTAGAAATGATTTTTTTTTTCCCCCCCCCCCCCCCCCCCCGCCTTCTTTAGATGCTAGTGGTGTAGACGCTATTTACACTAACATTGTATACCAGGCAGGGAATGTAGAAAACTGCCAGTATTTTGCAGGAGCTCTTGTCGGCAATGTATTTTGGTGCATGTGATGGTCAGGGTCCCAAAGCAGATGAGAGGTATTTAACCACTTGAAGCTAAAAGGTCACTTCTATCCACACATACAGCCCCACGTACTCTTTTTGTTCTCAGCACTATTGCCAGCAGGAGTTTCTACTCTCCCTGACTGCTGGCTCACAGCCTTCCCACATCATCCTTTCAGACTGGGACAGTTTTTTTATAGGCTGTGCAGTGAACAGATGAGGGAAATCCTCTGGCTTTAGAAGGAATATATTTTAACAGTTCCCTGGTCCAGTTCCCAGTCTGGTTTCTGTCTAGACATACTCTCGGCCAGATGCAGGGGGCAGTGCTCTGCAGTACAGAGGAATAATAAGTGTGAGAAGTGGGGGGAGGGTTGTGAAGACAGCAACACCTAAAATCACTCTTGCTGCTGAAGGAAATGTTGTAACAAATCATAGCCTAATTAACTGAACAGGGAAGAGTTTTGAGAGCGAGGTAATTAAAGTACCTCAAAGTGGTTTTGTCCCATAACTCCCTCTGGCCATTAGAACAGCCAAGGAGAACCTTTGAGGGAGATCGTTGCTTCATAATGTTTTGCAGATTTTTAAGTATGGATGTTGTGTGGAATTGAGGGGTCTCCAAAAGCCCTTTTTAAAAGGAGGGTGAGTTTTTCTTAAGGGACTCTGGCACATAACACTAAGTTAGTTTCTGTGAGAACTGGGCACCTTTAATCTTGAGATTTTTGAAACCCACTTCCCAGAAGCCTGAAGGACAGTAGGTAGAAGACCCATACAATTCCTGTGCAGTGATACAGTTCCACCATGGACTGTGGAAGTAGAATCCACTTGTTGGTGACTGTGAAGATACTGTCATATTTGATGTCAAGCACAGCTTCATATCAGAAGCCTTGAGTGATCTAATAAGACCCAGTTTCAATATGATTTCCATTTTACTCATTCTCAAAAAGGGATTGTGGGGTACTTTGCCATCTGATTATGTAGTGTGAACTACAAGATATGTTCCAATACAAACATCTTGGCTTGCCAATGTGACGCCCATCCACAAGAAGGGCCGGAAGGAGGATCCGGGGAACTACAGGCCTGTCAGCCTGACCTCGGTGCCGGGGAAGATTATGGAGCGGCTCATCTTGAGGGCGCTCACAAGGCATGAGCGGGACAACCAGGGGATCCGGCCTAGCCAGCACGGATTCATGGAAGGCAGGTCCTGCTTGACCAACCTGATCTCCTTCTATGACCAGGTGACCCGCCTAGTGGATGAGGGAAAGGCTGTGGATGTGGTCTACCTGGACTTCAGCAAGGCCTTTGACACCGTCTCCCACAGCATTCTCCTAGAGAAGCTGGCAGCTCACGGCTTAGACAGGTGTACTCCGCGCTGGGTAAAAAACTGGCTGGACGGCCGGGC